GTCTTTGCCCAATCCTCCAGAAGAGCCTTCGTGAGGTCAGGCTCTGATGTTGGACTTGAAGGCCTGGCTTGCAATCTCCATTCCTGTTCATCTCAAAGTTGTTTGAAGAGATTGAGGTCAGTCAAGCTCTTCCACACCAAACTCACCCAACTATGTCTTTATGGACCTTGCTTTGTGCACTCGGGCGTATTCACACTGAGCAGAAAAGGGTCTTTCCCAAACTGTTCTCACAAAGTCGGAAGCATTGAGAGTTCCCTTCACTGGATCTACGGGGTCTAGGCCAGCCCTTGTAAAACAATCCCATACCATTATCCTTCCTTTACACATTTGGCACAATGGAGTCAGGCAGGTAATGTTCTCTTGGCATCTGACAAACTCAGACTAGTCCATCAGTCTGCCAGACAGTAAAGCGTGATTCGTCACCCCACAGAACACGTTTCCACTGCTCTCAGAGTCCAGTGACGGTGTGCTTTACACCACTCCATCCGACGCTTGGCATTGCGCTTGGCGATGTGAGGCTTGCATGCAGCTGCTCGGCCATGGAAGCCCATTCCATGAAGCTTCTGGCGCACAGTTATTGTGCTGGGGTTAGTGCCAGAGGAAGTTTGGAACTCTGCAGTTATTGAGTCAACAGAGCGTTGGCGAATTTTACACACTCTGCAACCCCACTCTGTTACTTTATGTGGTCTGCCACTTTGTGGCTGAGTTTCTGTTGTTCCTAAACTCTTCCATTTTGCAGTAATACCACTTACAATTGACTATGTAATTTCTAGCAGGGAAGAAATTTCAAAAACTGACTTATTGCAAAGGTGGCATCCTATGACAGTATCACGCTTGAATTCACTGAGCTCTTCAGAATACCCATTCTTTCACAAATGCTTGTTAACTTGACTGCCTGGCTATGTTCTTGATTCTATACACCTCTGGCAATGGGTCTGAATGAAATACCTGAATTCAGTGGTTATGAGGTGTGTCCCAGTACTTTTGTCCACACAGTGTTTATACAATTCAATTGCAAAGGACATAGGAGTCTTTTAGTTGTAGCTGATTGTTGTATTCTAGCTGTGAGATGATCTATGCAGATGTTAGGGTTAGGTAATAATAAAGGGACCAGCAGATGACATGATTCGTTAACCTGATCGTGTCAACCCATGAATCTTCCCTCTAGACACAGGAATGTCACAAGTGGTCTTCTTCAGTGTGCTTGTCAAATGTGTAAGATCGTTACACTGCTTTGCATAACAGTGTGGCCCAAATAGCAAGATTGTCCAGCCCAACAGAGATGTTTAGAAGCCGTTTGCTGACTTTTATTTTGTATTCACAGGATTCATCTTCTGTTTTCTGTAGAAGTCCAGTTCCTTGTCTGTTGTGTCACCTATTCTGAGTTACGTTTCAGAGTAATGTGTTTTTTTTTCTTCTTCAGATCAGGTCATTTCATTTCTCAATGGCTGTCAAGTGGATTTGCTGTAAAGCAAAGACCCTCAATTGGTTTTCTTGTTCCTGAGGCACACTGCCACTGTCATGTTTTTTGAGTCCAGCTGATGGGAAGTATTCAGGCCCGGCAATTGTAAGGTCTTGCTGCCATTGCTGTAACGTATTGCATGAACAAAACAAACCATTTATGTTTAATCTCAAGACATGCGTCCTCATTGCTATTATGGCCCGGAGTCCGCGACCTGCTAGCTAAGGTACAAATTAGTTTCCTTTGAAGCAGGAAACGTACCACCTGCGGTTGTGACTAATACATCTGAAGCTCAGCAGGTTTGGGTCTGGCAAGTACTTCAATGGGAGACAAACTTGGGTTGCTGCTGGAAGAGGTGTTGGTGTGGCCAACAGCTTAGCCAGTCCTATAGTCTGTGTTGATCCTAATGCTCACACTGTGCTGTAAAAACGGTGCTGCCCTTCAGGATGTGGCATAAATAAAAGGTAATAAAAGATCCCTGGGCATCTTTCAAAAGAGTAGGGGTGCTACCCCGATGCCCTGGCTAAAATTGCCCACTAAAATCCAGCCTCCAAATCATCCCCTATATCTAACTGGTGAATTCTCTCCTGTCCCTTCACCACCTTAGCTACTGTGTAGTAAACCTACTTCTGTAGAATGGCTGCCATTGCATCATCCAGGTGGGGGCTACACAGTAGTGGTGGTTGAAGTGACTCCATATTAGTTCTGTAAAGCACTTCGGGTGCCTTGAAAAAGCGCTATATAAATGCGACATTTATTTACAATTAGGCCACTGATTTAATACAAATTGTGTCGTACTAGTAGTGTTCTCTTTTTCCCCGCATGCTTGAGAGAATAAAATTATCTAGAATTTTGTTTTGAATATTTTCCCACCAAATTTCTTTTACTCCTAAAACAAATGAACTTCACAAACTAACTTCACCACACTCTGAAAGGTGAATGTAACTGTATTTAAACTGTATACTGGCCTTTGTTTTTTTTTCTACTTTTAACTAGCAGCTCTACACAACTGCACAGTGAGAGATGGAAGGTCTCTCGCTCACTCTCTGACCATGGTTCATAGGGACAGTTTGAGTTCCAGGAACCCCAGTTCCAGTTCTCTGTGTCATCTCTGCATAATGGACCTTGATGAGATCTCGCAACAGCTTGCCTGTTATATCTCTGACTCAGCAAAACACTACAGGACCAGAATGACTCAGCATAATCACTGTGAGTAAGACCTGGGCGACTATAATTAAACATTCCATCGGCCGGGCAAATTTACAGCACTATTGGTTCAGATTACAGAATTAGTACTTAGATGTGACGCTGATGGGAACATAGCCTGGAAATAGCTTGTTCCCATGCTTTGCATTTGAATTTCATGTTTAAAAATGAGAATAAAATTATACTTTGGCAACATTTGTTTTCACTCTCATGGGAGAATAAAGCTAAAATAATTTTGGATATTCTTCTTATTTGATAAACACCATAGTTGTTTTCTACAGAGTCAGAATGAGCACATGTTAAGCCTGCAACATGCTCAAAGGTGTGCGCTCAACCGCTGCTTAAACTGCCCTTAATTGTCTCCGAATGGGCTCTCCCCAGATATAAATGTCTCTCCCTGTCATTTAAGGTCTCCGGGGGTCATCGTCCTCCTTTTCCGAAGTGGGAGGGCTGACACAAGCATGATGGGGGAGTCAGCTGCCCCAGTCAGCGGCAGGTCACTCTGGGTCGGAAAGAAGAAACCATAAAGCATCGTAGGCCGTCGTGCAAATTTACACGCCCGGCACGTGGCACGTGGCTGGGGCCGCTATTAGTCAGCACGGCATGAGACTTTGATTGTCTCTGTGGGCAGCTGGCCGTTCAGCCGCTCTAAAGCTTGAGGACGCTGACGGGACATTGAGCCAACAGCACGGCTGTACTTTGCCCCTCCATGACAGTGTCATCGTTTCCTCACCGGTGACATGATCGCGCTGTCGGCGCTGCCTCACGCTCGGACAGGCACCGCCCCCCGGGCCAACGCCGCCGCGGCTGAAGCCGCTTCTGCATGGCGTGTGTGCTCCCGCATGAGCGGCAGGCAGCTGGATCAGTGCATTATTATTAAACACAGTCTAAACACGGACATTTATTTCCTGCACAGCAGCAACACGGCACATAAATAGCAGCCAAGAACAGTATCTGTATAAATAAGGAAAGGACATCGTGGCTAAGGAAAAGCAATGTGGCTGAGTAATTTTCACACGCTCTCGGAGCTGACTTGCTCTGGCCTTATTCCTGGCCCTGCGAGAGGCCTGGCTGCCACGGACACGGCGGTTGCGTCTCCTGCATCGCTCGCCACTTCCTGGGGCGTCCCCGGCGGTGCAGTCTACTCCAGCGGCCCGGGGGCCTCAGGTTACCGCTGCGGCTCGCTCTCATGTTTGCCCTGTCAGGACGTCAGGCTCCTTTGTTTGCACTGCATGCCCCAAACTGTGGACTCATCAAGAGGCTCGGCCCACAGCCTGATCGGAAGCGGTGGGGGGGGGGGGCGGGCAGCTGTACCTGCTGTGAGTTTCCAAGGTCCCCTTGTCGCTCGCTATCCAAGCCCCTGACACCAGAGCAGAGGGCACATTCTGGGACAGCAGCCTGTGCACTGTTAGCTGTTTACTGTTACTGGTCTCATTTCATCTCCCCTTCTTCCAAGCACACAAGCGGCACTGGTGGCATTTATGAATTCATTATGAATGTACCAGGATCCCTGAGGATTTCCCCTCTCCCTCTCTCTCTCTCTCTCCCTCTCTCTCTCTCTCTCTCTCTCTCTCACTAGGAAGGAGTGCTGATGAGGCATGTGGGACAGCTGTTTACAATGGCAGAATACAGAAGTGAGAATTCCAGTAACAGAGAAATGAGAGTAGGCCATTTGCATCCTGCTCTTCGTGTGTGGATGGAAGGTGACATAACCTCACACGCTGCACGACGGTCACATGCCTTATGCGGGGAAAGTTTACTCTTTGTGACCATCTCTCATTTCTGCCAAGAGACACAGGCCTGATGTCTAAAATGGCGAACCTAACTTGGACCATTCACACGGAACTTTCACTTTATCTTTAAACTGACCACATTGAACCTTTTGCATGCTAATATGTGTCATTGGATATTTTGGCATTTGACAGAAGAAGTTGGTCTCTACCAAAAAACTAGCTGATAATGATTATTCTGGTTTTTAAAGTTTTATTGGCTTTTGGTTTTTTTTTAGCTGCAATTTTGATACGTCAGAAGGTTAATAATAATCCCTGAAAATATCTCTTCGCATGGCAGGCATTACAGCAAACTAGCGTGTATGGTCAGGCGGGGATGTCTGGCCAATGGTGCGAGGCCACAGCTGGCACATTCGGAGCGCTAGCAGAGTTAATGAACGGCACTTACAGGCAAAGTGCCAAGATGGGCAAGCAGCCATTCTCCCACAATGAGCTTGAGGAGTATCACGACAGAGCTGCTTCTAATTATATACGGAGAGAGAGAGAGAGAGAGCGAGAGAGAGAGTGAGATAGAGAGCAGTCACAGAGGGAGAGCAAGTGGGAGAGAGAGAGAGAAGGAGAGAGCGAGAGAGAAGGAGAGAGAGACAGCAGCAGCCTCAGAGGGCGAGCAAGTTTGAACATGAGAGTGGAGAGAGAGAGACCAGTCACAGAAAGAGATAGCAAGAGAGGCAAGGCAAGCAGTATCAAAGCTGGATGTTCAAATTTGCATCGCTGGTGCCCGTTCAGCTAAAGACACGATTCTTTACTCATCTAGAGAGGACAACTAGAGAGGTAGGAGACCAGAGCTGTTTCCTTACACGTTTATCAAAGGTCTATGTGTGTCTGCATGTCACTCTTTCTGAGTGTATGTGAGTGTGTGTGTTTGTGTATGCTCACGCGCAGGTGTGTGTGTGTGTGTGTGTGTGTCCGTCTGCCTGCCTATGATGAAAGTTACAGTCCTGCGTTTGGTTTGCGCTGCCTCGCTTATGGGCAGAGCACTGTGCCTCGTGTCCAAAGGTGACGACTGTGCAGGACCGCGGTGCGGAGACAGGCTGTCACTAGGTCAGGCGCAGCCACAGATATGCATCTACGCTCCTGGGGCAGTACAGTCACCAGGCGCTCCCAGCTCAGCTCACAGACGTGTCTCCTGGGACAACCATCACATCACACCTTTCAGTCAGGCACCCCCAAAAGCCACTGCTTCTCCTGCTACTGTAATTACCACATGTCCTAGCGGTTTATAGCCCTAAAAATACAAGTATGTATCCTTTCCTGGCAAATCTCTTCACCTCCCCACAACGTTGACATGGTCTTTTTATTTTGCAAAAGTTATTTTGTAAACGTCCTTGTTCGCCTGTGGCATCGCATGCCGGGCTCTTGAATGATGCTTTTGTGGTCCTACTGATCTCCTTTTGACTACTGTAACGTCATGCAGTTGCAGTTTATATGACATGGCATATTTCAGTTCTTTTTTTTTTTTTAATTTCTGGAAACCACATTTCTACAATAGCAGATAGAAGTGCCGGTAAATTATCTACTTGTAAACTTCTAAAAATAACCATAAAAAAAACAAAAATCGGTCCCGCTTTAGCGAAATCGAGTTTATTGAAGTGCGTGTCGATGCATTGGGTCCCGATCATCGTGCAGCGTAGCTCAGCGCCGCCTCACACCTGCAGTACAGTGCGTCGGGCTGTGCTTGGCGCGCTCCACACCGGCTTTGGAGCCCCTAACGCTCTGTGTTATATCACTAGCTGGCACCCGCTGCCAGGGTCTTGCACAAGGTGTGAAACATGAGGCTCTGCCGATGCCAGGGTAGCGGTGTTGCTGCGGCTCCCTTTCAGCAGCGGGTACCTTGGGTCCAGGGAGGCACGACTGGCCCGGCGCCCTCCCCGGACGCGCGGCTTCCGTCCCAGGTGTAGCCTGAGCGCTGGCCGCCCTTCCCGCTTCCCATGTGTGCCATCCGGTTGCTGCTCCTTTTCCAGTGATACTTGTGAGAGTTCTTGGCTGTTTTTTTTAGGGGTGTGGGGGTTGGGGGATATTGGTTGGGGAAGGACGGGAATAAGACCTGGGAGGGGTAGGTGGAACATGCAGTGATCACATGCTGGTTAAGTGACACTAAAGCCCTACAGGACTCAACCCCCCGGCCACTCCACTACAGGGTTTGTAACTCCTGAAAATGTGATCTCCGCACTGGTGCTTGTGGAAACCACACTGTCTTTGGGGAAGCAAACCCAGTACACCACTGGGGCTGTCCACCATTACCCCCCCCATTCTGCCTCCCCCCCAAACCTGATTAGCATGCTGTACTGCAGATGTCCCTGTGCTGAATCCCCCCCCCCCCCCACCCCCACTCTGGGCCGCTGCGACTTTAAGAGGTCTATTTTTGCAGCCTGGCAGGCAGGCACACATACTCATGCATAATGTGAAGTGTGTGAATGAGCCAGTGGGTGTAACTCGTTCACGTTAATCCCGCCACTCGCCGTTCAGCGGGGACCGCCCGCTACATCGCTCGCCGAGCTGAGCCCGGCGCCGACAGATGGGTTTCCTTTTCGGGAGCCTGATTGTTTGCCGAGCGTCATGAGACATCAGTGCCACATATCTCGACTGCTGCCTAATTAACTTACAAAGTAGCGAATGTGGCTCCCGCTCCACCTCTGATGCTGCTTAGAAGAAGTGGAGGCTCTTAGACTGGACTAATAGCTCATAGTTCTCCCTCTACACTGGCACTCAGTAATGTCCGTCCATCCATCCATCCAACCATCCATCAATCTTCTACGTCATGGGCCAGTGTGTATGTACACGTATTTATCTATAGATATGTTTACACCCACATCCATCACTTTGTTTTATACAGGATGTACTCTTGCATGCCTCATGCAACACATGCCGCTGAATAATGCATGCCTTGCGATTATTGCCACGCTCCTTTGCATGTAACGGTGCCTCTCCTCACTGCCTTTTGATCATTCAATCGCCATCAGTCCAGTAGGTGGCCAGGGACGGAGGACAGTGGACAGAGATTTGGCAGAAATGGGGAGTGGGGAACGTAGGGGCTCTGAGTTGGGAGGGGCATGAGCAGGCGACGTGTCAGATGACCTTCCGTAGCTGCGGCGCCACCTTGCAGAAAACTCCACCAGCAGGCGTGTCTGCTCTCACGTAGGAATCCGAGCAGATGTCCGTGTGTTGCTCATCGCTCATCTTTAAGGATGCGTGAAAGTGATTTCCCCGTCCCTGTGCGAGGGCACCGAGCCACAGTCTGTTTGTTAGATCCAGCTGTCCCCTAGCTGTGTGACTCCGGTGGGGGGCGAGACCTAAGTTCAGAAGACATTTCTGACGGCCGCCCGGTGAGCAGCGGGAGCAGCCGGCAGGTTGGCCTGTTAGCGAGAGCAGCCTGCACAACCCCCCAAAGCCCATAGCTGCTACCACTTTTGTATTGTATTTTTTTTTTAACTCATGTTCATTTAACTCAGCATTTCCTGCATAGACCAGTGCATCTCCATCGCCTGTTTAATGATTGTTTGTGACATTTCCCAAATTCCCTCTCTGCCCACACTACTTGCATCAGATCTGGGTGCTGGCCTCTGACTAGAGACTGTTTATGAAGGAAGAAGATGGTATTATCTTCCCAGGGACCTGATTTTTTTTTAACACCCAAAAACCACCTCATACTAACTTCTTGGCTGATGTGTTAAACATATTCTGATGCTGTGGCAGAATTACAGCACTCACCGATAAAGGTACCAACTGTGAACAAAAGTGTTGAAATGAGGTCGTCGTTGCAAGTTTTGGCTAGTTTAAATGCATTTAAGCTATTGCCTTCTTCTTTATTTAGTTCAGCAGGAAAAGTGCGGCTTACATTTACATCAATAATATTTCATATAATCCTATCTAGTCGCTTCCCCAGGGAATGATTTTTTCACAATAATTATGATCTTGTGTGTATGATGGGTCACAACGGCAGAACAGTCAGATTCATGTTACGCAGCGTCAGTAATAAGGAGACCAAGCTCACATGTCATTTCCGGTGTTCAGGGGCTGCTGGCGTTCAGTACAGGTCACATGACCCAGCCCACTCCTATGCGGCGTGACCATGTTGACATGCCATTTCTATGACTTTCCTTTCTGTTTTTTTTTTTTAAGATTAATCTTAAAACAAATTCAGTGCAATCTCTGCAACTTATTAATTAGAATAATTGAAAATTATTTGCATTGTTAATTAAGTAGGCCATTCATTAAAGTCATATATTCAGTTCTTAAAGAGGCTATGGGACACTTTCATTTTCATATTTATATGGATAGCAGGACATGACAACGGGTCATTGTAATATCACACCTGTACTCTGTAATAAGAGAAAAACTGTTAACTGATTGTAGGTGGGAGATGTTGACGTGAAGATGCGCCCCCCCCATGCGGAAATGAAAGGTCCTGACACTTTTCTTGTCCCTTGTGGCCCATGTGGCAAATGAGTACAAACATTCGGCGTTTGTTCAAACGGCACATGACATTGTCCCCGTGCCACTGCAAGATGTCACAGCCTGAGGGGACACCGAGCCTTCACTGTACAGCGGAATGAGGCCGGGCCCAATTTATTTGGCTTTCCATCACTGCCAGGGTCGCGGCATTGACAGGAAGGTGGCAGTTTTGCATGCAGTTTGTGTTTGGGGGTTATGGGAGCAGAGGAGTGTGGGTGAGTGTTTGAGGAAAACCCTTAGCAGGGAGTTAAATATGTCCATAATGCAGAAGAATCAGGCAGTATCAGAATCCAAAATTTTTTTTTTCAATGTTTTAATCATTTAAAATATTTTTTTAACTGTTGATTCAGAATACTGTTGTTTTTAACTTATTCAATACCAAATAGCTGTTTGTTTACATGTGTGTGTGTATGAGTGTGTGCGTGTGAGTAAGCGTATACATGTGAGTGTGTGTAGACTCCCGCATATACAACCACACTCAGCTGAGAAGTACCCTGAGGCCTACCCAAAACACTAAATCTAACACTAACACCAACACCAAGACTGACAACATTAACACTAACACCAACACCAAGACTGACAATAACATTAACACTAACACCAAGACTGACAATAACATTAACACTAACACCAAGACTGACAATAACATTAACACTAACACTAACACCAACAATAACATTAACACTAACACTAACACCAAGACTGACAACATTAATACTAACACCAAGACTGACAATAACATTAACACTAACACCAACACCAAGACTGACAACATTAACACTAACACCAACACCAAGACTGACAAAACATTAACACTAGCACTAACATTAACACTAAAGCTAACAGTAAGAGAAAGCAGCAGATCTAAATAGGAAACCAGCTAACCAGAGATATGGAGAGGGAAAGTAATTATATCACTTGATACTGCTGTTACAGTTATCAACAAGAAAAGCTTTTGGAGCTCTCCATCCTACTCTGGATGCCATCTTCAGATTTAGTTATTTATCTTCAAGTTCTGTCTTAGAGGAAGAGTGGAGGTACAGGGCGAAACGAATGAGGCCACAGTGAGCACTGTGATCCTATATGCCAGAAGTCTGGTCTTATTTTTAACTGATGCTGCCCAAAATCCAGCTTATAGAGGCATTGCCGCCCTATTTATACCCAGAGGGCTGACTCTAGCATCCACAGTGAAGGGGGATTGTCTTTGCTATTGGTATTAAGCCTGATTCAGCCAGCGGCGGCTGGCTGTGTGAAGGATCACAGCTGGCGCGCGTCGCGGTGCCTGGGTAGTCACTCCTCTCATTACCTTCCTGCTTTGT